TATTGCCATAGGGAATTATTTTGTTTAAGGGAACTGATGTGAACCATACATACATTAACAAAGAAAGAAGCTTCTTAAATGTTGACATATGAAGCCAAAATGTCCACAGCTACATGCTGTCTTCAGGCCTTCAGTTGGGGTCTTTGATCTCCTCACCCGAGTCCTGGGCTGACATCAGCATCTGATATTAGGGTGCCTGGAGGAAGAGTCCTGATTAAGACTTCTTAAGAGTACACAGTTGATTCAACCTCTTGAAAGTGAGCCAGCATTTACTGCGTAACTACCGTGTAGCCAAGTTTTAGTCTGATGCTTTACACAAGTCCTAACAGCAACCCTGGGAAGTAAGTATTAGTATCCCCATTTCAGAGAGGTATATGGAAGCTAAGGTTTAAGGAGGGGTTATAACATACTCAAAATCACTCAGTTTGCAAATGGCAAAGACAAGGTTCAACCTCAGGTTCCTGTTAACACCAGACTATACTATCTATCTGTGGCTTCAGGGACCCCAATAAGGCAAAAGTCTCTGATGTCACAATAGGAACTGAGTGTGGGAATGGGGCTGCTGGTGTCTGGATGAATGTGAGAGGTTAAGTGGCATCCTCCACATCTGTGAGCCAGCGCCTCTCAAAAGTTCATCTTAGAAGCACAAACTGGTGTTATGATGACTATATCAGAATCAGCTGTTAGGCATATTAAGAATGCAAAAAATGTGGACCCCACTCTCAAAGATCCTAATTCAGCAGGTATGGAATAGAGCCCAGGAATCTGAATTTTTTAAGATTTAGAGGGGATTCTGATGCAGACAGATTTGGAAACCACTTGGCAACCTTTATAAGCTTCAGGCCTCCCCTCTTGCCTTTAGTTATAAAACAGTCCTCAGGGTACAGGGCCAAGGTACAGTTCTGAAGGAGGAACTATGGAAATAATCACACAGAACTCAGAGACTGATTATGACAGTGGTTCTCAATCAGAAGGCATGTGTCAATATCAGGGACACTTTCTCAACTCCAACACATTCACTTCAGTTGAGAACCACTGCATATCCAGCGAATGTGAAAATGAATTTATGGGAGGTAAGAGCTAACCATTTTCTCAGGGATTAATGCTAACCTCGTCTGCACTATCACAGAGCAGCCGTTACATTCTCTACCATCTGGTGTATCTTCCAGGAGGACTTCTAATTTGTCTCAAGGGAATTCCCATGGGTTGCCCCATTAAAACTTGAGATTTGCACTCAGGGGTTCTCTTTGGGCTTTTCCAGATGGGGGCTGATGCTTCCTCCTTTTGGTTTTGAGTGTTCTGGGACACGCTGGCTACTGTCTGCACACTGACAGAGGTCTGAGCTCCAGTGGGTATAATAGCACATCCCTGCACTGCATGAGTAGTAGGGACTATGGCATACTGTCTAAAGGGAGATGCTGCTTCTCAGTTCCAGTCAATACTTGCTATGCAGAAATGCAGGCTAAGTATTATCAGAGTTTCTCATTTAAAAAGAAAAAGGCCCAAAATCAGAATTTCTAAATGTTGGTCCAAATTAGAAAATTTAAATATAATGTAGGCCAAACAAAACTTTCTGTAGGCCACATCTGGCCAATTTACAAACCAAATTCAGTAGAAAATAATCTCTTGCTGATTTTTGGTCTGCTTGAGAGCAGGCTGTCATACCTGGCCATGTCTGCCAAAGGAAACAGTTCCATTTGGAAGCTACAATTCTAAAGCACTTAGTCATCCCATGCTGTGTTGATTTGGCCACCTGTCAGGGTGCAGCTCTTAGTGTGGCCTTTAGTTTTAGGGAGAGAAATTAAGGGAGAAGGGCTGGAACAGAGCCAGTTCATAATATCACTAAACATGTTCCAGTAGATTGTGCTTAAACAACCTACTGACATGCAGATAGGCTTAAAATTTCACTGCTAAAATTTCATATATCTTACTGTTGTCCAGAACCAAAAACATCAAGTGGCTGACTCAAAGCTCTTAGAATTCCAACTGTTACACTGGTTCCTTTTCTTCTTGTGTATATTCCAAATCGCACATGGAAAAGGATCACCTCCACTGACAGGCACCACCCTCTGCAACTGGAACCATCTGAAACTGACATTTCACTACTTATTTCACCAACTCAGATTTCAAGTGAAATGAGGTATTTGACCATCCATAATGGAGGTTCAACCTGCATCTTTACCCTCTACCACCACAGAAATGATTGTGAACTCATTAGCTTTCTTTCACTTTCTGAAACCCTTACATCAGTCTTTCCTGTTGCAAAGTAGTTGTGTGTGTGTGTGTGTGTGTGTGTGTATTGGGGGAATCAGTCTTCAGGGGACACACATTCTCTTTGCTTTGCAACTCCCACTTCCACTGGTTCCCTTCTTTCTCACTCTCTGGTGGGTGAGAACTCTGGTGGGTAAATGCCTTCCCTGAGAAAGTCTCAACCAAGTGGGTGGTTCTGAAACAAAAATAGTGACAAAGACCTAGCTGATGGAGAAGTATCCAAGAAGAAAGTCTTGGGGGATCTTCTCTCCCTTCAAAAGCAACTGGGCTCCAGATTCACTGATTAAAGGCATAGTTCCTTGATACAAGTGTCTGTATGTGTCTCAAGTTTCCAGCCACCATCAGTGGCTCCCTTGATGTATATGATTTCTTACAAGAATGGGGAAAAGAGAAAGATTTTCAGAATTTCCTATGGATCTTATCCAAAATACTCATGCTTGTCGTCTCCACTTACTCCACCCTCTGGTCCATCAGTGTTGGCAGTTGACGTAGAAAGTCAATCATCTAAAGTTCGGAAAAGCTCCCTAGGGAATTCTGATTAATTGCTCTTTCCACTCCCACAATACCCTCACTTCTAGTCCTAATTGAGAATCATTGAACTGAGACATACCAGCCACTTGGGTTACATTGGGTGTATTGTGGCTATTTGGAGTTTGTAAATGAGATGCCCGTTCTCCTCTCTCTCTCTCTCTCTCTCTCTCTCTCTCTCACACACACACACACACACACACACACACACACACGGAGAGAGAGCGAGCTTGGACCTTAAATAAGATAACGCATGGGATTAGACATGCACAATCACCTGAAGGAGACAGGGGTGGATCCTCTGCATAATTGAAGATATTAACAAGCCTAAAGAATCTGTCAAAAGGTGGGGAGTGCAGAGGGAAAGGACAAGTTGGTCAGTCAAGAGAACACAGACAAAAGAAAACTGCTGAATCGAGGATTGGTAGTGTCCATCCCAAAGGGAGCCTCAACAATCAGACCTGGAGCATCACAGACCATCAGCAAAACCATCTCTATTACTAAAGGATGAATCAGGCCACCCAAGGCTGATGTCAGTAGGCATCCATCAATCTATTATCCCCAGGGCTAATTCTTGTTCCTTCAAGCAGTTTTCTGATCTCCTCTCTTTCATGGAGAGAAAGTGCTGGTCTATATTTCTGGTCTCTGAGACAGTAGTCTTTCATGGTAAATGGCTTTTGATTGATCATTATTTTGTGTCCCACGAAGCTTAATCCTAAGACCCTGCCTGATATGTTACAAACTAACTCTTCAACCTCATCTAAAACCACTGAAGGTGACAAAATGACTTCTTTTATAAAAGGACTATTCTTTTTTTTAAAGTGAAGTTCACATAACATAAAATGAACCATTTTAAGTGAACAATTAAATGGCACATAGTACATTCACAATGTGCAACCACTATCTCTACTTCCAAAATATTTTTATCACCCCAAAAGGAAACCATGACCCCATTAAGTGGCTGCTCCCTATTTTCCCTTCCCCCAGACCCTGGCAACCCAATTTTCATTCAGTCTCTATGTATTTACCTATTCTGAATATTCATTTAAATGAAATTATGCAATATAAATTTTTTGCATGTCTGGCTTCTTTTATTTAGAATAATGTTTTCAAGTTTCATTCACATCACAGCATATATCAGTATTTCATCCATTTTTATGACTGAAAATAATATTACATTGCATGTATATACCACAATTTGTTTATCCATTCACCCACTGAGGGACATTTGGTTCGTTTCTACCTTTTGGCCACTGAAAATAGTGCTGATATGAACATGCAGATATATGTATTTATTTGAGTACTAGTTTTCAGTTTATTTGGGTATATACCAAGGAGTGAAATTGCTGAGTCATATAATAATTCTACATGTAAATTTTTGAAGAGCTACCAAACTGTTCTACAGTGGCTGTACCATTTTATATTCCCACCAGCAATGCAAAAGATTCTGATTTCTCCACACCCATGTCAACATTTGTTATTACCTGTCTTTTTTTATTATAGCCATCTTAGTAGGTATAAAGTGGTAACTCATTGTGGTTTTGATTTGCATTTCCCTAGTCAATAATAATTTTGAGCATCTTTTCATGTGCTTGTTAGCAATTTGTATGTCTTCTTTGAAAAACTGTCTATTCAAGTCTTTTGCCCATTTTTAATTTGGATTCCCTTTCTATTGTTGAATTACAAAAGTTCTCTATATATTGTGGACGCCAGACCCTTATCAGAAGTAATTTGTGAATATTTTCACCTATCCTATAGGTTGTCTTTTTACTTTCCTAATAATGCCCTTGGATGCACAGAATTTATTAATTTTGTTGAAGTTTTATCTATTTTTTTTGTTGCTAATGCTTACAGCATTACATCTAAGAATCCATTGCCAAATCCTAGATCATAAAGATTTACCCTTGTTTTCTTCTAAGAGTTTTATGACTTCATTTTATGAATCTAGGTCATATATTCATTTTGAATTAATTTTTGTTCGTGATGTGAGAAAGGGATCCAACTTCATTTTCTTTGCAATGTCGTTATCTCGTTTTCCCAGCACCATTTGTTGAAGAGATTATTCTTTCCCCTTTGGATGGACTTGGCAGCCTTCAAAAAAATGTACTGGACATAAATGCATAGATTTATTTTTGGCCTCTCAATTATTTTTTATTGGTCTATATTCTACCCTTATGTCAGCACCACACTGAATACTGTACCTTAAATTGGGAAATGTAAGTTTTCCAATCTTTTTCTTCTTTTTCAATATTGTCAGCTATTCAGAGCCATTTTCAATTCCATTTGAACTTGAGGATTGGCTTTTCCACTTCTGAAAAAAAAATCATTAGAATTATGACGGGGAATTTCGTTGAATGTGTAGATAACTTTGGGTCGTACTGCCATCCTAACAATAGTAAGTCTCTAATCCATGAACATGGAATGTCTTTCCATTTATTTAAGTCTTCCTTAAGTTTTTTCAGCAGTGTTCTATAGGTTTTGGGGTATAACTCTTTCACCTTTTTAGTACACTTATTTCTGGGTATTATTCTGACTGCAAGAAGGATGCTATTTTATCTTTGTCATGACCATTTTAAGTCATAACAAAGATCACTATTCTTACTTCTGTGTGGAGAATAGAACTTACAGAAGAAAGAGTAGAAGCAGGAGGATGTATTGGATAATCCTGGTGAAAGATAATGGTGTCTTGGGCAATGTAGTAGTCTTGGCAATGGTGAGAAGGGGTTGGATTCAGGATACATTTTGAAGGTAAAGCCAAAAGATGGGAATGGCTGGAATATAAGAAAGTTTAGTCAAGGGTCACTTTAAGGTTTTTGACCTAAGTAATTGGTGAAGAGTGGTGCCATTTACAGAGATGGAGAACACTGGACAAGATGCCAAGAGAAATAAAGAATTCAGTTTGGAAAAGTTGACTTTGAGTTGCCTATTAGATATGGGTAGTATTTAATCACAATTTGTATTTACTTATTAACTGCTGTTACTCCACAAGGGCAAGAACCAAATCTTTATTATCAACTGCTGTACTCCCAACACCTAACAACAATGTTTGGCATTTAGTAGATTATCATGAAATATTTTTAAGTAAATAAACAAATAAAAATGCAAGCTCAGGTCCAACTGGTCTTTCCTATATACCTGGTTTATAACACTGCTTTCAGATGCACGTTCTTATGCTTTATGTATTGCTGCATTTCCAGCACTTTTTCTATTTTTTTAAGAAGTAGGTTCTTGTATTTATAATTTAATAAATGTCTTTCACCCTGTCTCCTTACTCACTCTTTACCTTTCCATCTATGCAATTGCTGGCACAATGACATAACTTAACAAATACCAAGAAAAATACAAAAAAAAAGACCTCAATAACAACAACAAAAAGTTAATATTTATTGAGTACAAACTATGTGCCAGGTACTGTGTAAAATGCTTTACATCTTCTCATCTAATGCTCACAATAAATGTATCAGCATAAAGCATAGTTGGGTTGGCTGTTTTTTTTTTTTTTTTTCAGTTTTAGGGTCACATGCTTTGGAATGTGAGTTTGTCCATATAGCCAAAAGGAACAGTTGAGATGGGCACATTAATTTATTTAAGTGAATATATATCAGTGTCATTCTTTTTAAAGGGTGCTGACTTGTGCCAGCATAAATAAAGCCTTGGAGAATCTTATAATTGGGCAAATGCATTCCTTCAAGTTAAAAAATCCATCAGGCAATAAACATTTACTGAGCCCTACTATACAGGTATTGAGGGGGTGAAACACAATGTAGAAGATATGGGCTTAGCTGGGGAGAACTGGATCTAGAATGGAATGGGTCAACAGCAAGCCCTGGAGATCTGATCCTTGGTAGCCTCTCTCCCCCACTATCAATCTAAGGAGTTCACCAAGGCCATCTACAGGAGTTTGTAAAGACTTCCAACTAGCACCCTCTTAAAAAAGTCCAGTAGCCAATGCACATGATCTGTCTTAGAGTGAAGTTTCCAAAAGTGCGTGGTGTTCTGGGGAGAGGTGCCTTGCTAAGGAAGGCAGGAAGCTATGTCAAAAGAACATAAGCCATCCCCTTCCACCCTGAGTATGTGCTGTGCTTGGTGATTGCTCTCAGAGTATGGTATGGAAGCAGGGAGCTGGAAAGTAATGTTACAATGGAAAAATATGGTAAACACTACCTCAGCCAGATGACCAAGGTCAACATCAACAGAGATGTGTCATCTTGCTAGCATGTGCCCTTGATATGATGTCATGTGAATGGCACTTTACTGCTATGGCCTTTCTGCCAAAAACCCATAGCCCCAGTTTAACCCTGAGAAAAATATCAGACAAACACAAATTGAGGGACATTCTACAAAATACCTTACCAGTGTCCCTCAGAAGCTTCAAGGTCATCAAGAATAAGAAAAATCTGAGAAGCTGTCACAGACCAGAGGAGCTAAGGAAACATGACACTCAAATATTATCTTTTAGTGGTAATTCTGTGGTTCAAGTGTTCACAATTCTTTGGTGACAGGTACTATAGTGTGGTGGTTAAGCAGAAGGACTGTGATGTTAGCAGGCCTGGGGTTTGAATTGCCAGCGTTTGCCACTGACTGTGAGAATTTGATCAACTTAAACTCTGAGCCTCAGTTTACTCATTCAAAAACAGAAATAAAATGAATAGTACCAATCTCATAGAATTGTCATCATGCTCAAATTAGCTTGTGACATGCTTGGTGTCAAGTCTGGCTCATAGTAAACAATAATATGAGTTATTATTAAATTCATATTTATTTATTTTAGCAAATGGTATGATACAGGGATTTAAGTTTTCTTTTCACCAAAATCTCTAACTAATTTCTCCTAGTATTTTCCAAATGAGCCATCATTTCCTAATTGATTGGAAAATGCCACCTTCATAAAATAACACACATACTTTTATTTGTTACAGCTTTCTATTCTGTTTCATCGATTTGCCTGTTTATTCTTGCACAATTAGCACCCTAATTTACTTTGTAGCTTTGTATGGGTTTGTTATTGTTTTGCAAGTGGTACAAGTACCTCCATGGTATTATCCTCTATATTTTAATAGTTGTTTTTATTCAGAATGTGTTGAACAACTTTCATGTGGAGCACTTTCGTAAGATTAGTAAAAGGAATACTGGAATTAGAGGACATAATCCCTGCAATGAAGTGTGTGTGTGTGTGTCTGTGTTAGTGTGTGTAGAAAGAGCGAGAGATTGATTATTATGTTAACCATCTAAAAACAGGTCATGGGTGTTATTTTCATGCCCGGTACAGTGTTTGGTTCTCGAAATACAGCCTAAATAAGGCATACGTTCAGCTCTCAGGGAGCCTTTAGCACAGGGCCAGAGACAAATAAAGCCATGATTCTAGTACTGAATGACTTTAGACGGTACGAAGGGAGCACAGAGGTGGGTCATCTAAATAAGGAAGGGACAGTTGGTAGGAGTTTCAAAGGATAAAACTGAGGTGGTAAAGCACAGGGGAGCTGTGGGTAGGAGGGGGCATAGCAGGAGGGGCTTCTAGAAAGGGAAACAAAATGTGTAAAGGTACCTCAATTCGTGGAAAAAGACAACCTGCTTGATATGGCTGGAGAGAATGAGGGAGGTGGGGGATGGACTTGCGTGTATACGTGCATAAGCATAAAAGAACGATGACATTTAAGGGGGAATTTGCTGCCAACGTTCTGGCTGATGTCCTTTCTTCTCCCTGAAGCTTTTCAACACACTCCATTTCACAAAGATCTTGTCAGCCCAGATCACTGAGGAAGAACCATGAATATTTTGTGACATTTCTTGTTCATTTTTATTTAATTTCTACTCCTGTGCCTTAAAGGCAGCTTCTAAATATATTTACATGTCAGGCATTCTTTTAGATACTGGGATATAGCAGTGAACAAACCAAAACTCCTGCCCTTGTGGAGATTATAGTTTTGGTAGAGGGAGACAGATAATAAATAAACAAGTAAATATGTAGTTTGTTAGCTGGTGATAAGGGATGCTTTAGAGGAAGATAAATCAGGATGAGAAAGATAGGCATGACTATAGTAATGTACATTGTGTTATAATTATCTGTGCCTCCCTTTTCCCTACTAGATTGAATGTTTTTCAAGGACATAGATTTGGTTTTATTAATCCCTGTAGCTTACTGGTCCGGTGCCTAGAATCTAGCATGTGTTCAATAAAAGTAGAGGAGCAGTATAGATTAAACCTGGGTGAGACTGCCTTGTCCAAATCCAGTCTCCATCACTTACTAAAATTATGACCTTGGGTAAAGTACTGAGTTCTCTATCTATGAGTTTCCTCATCTTAAAAATGCAGGTAATGATAGTACCTTACTCAAGGGGGAATTAGATGAGATAATATATATTAAAATATTTAAAGTAGTCCCCCGCCTGCATAGGTTGCATTTAATAAATGGTAACTGTTATTAAACTGTGATCTGAATATATTCTGACAGCACAGACTTTAGGGCGCTTAAAATAATTTATTGTTGTTTAAAGTTCTGCTCAATCTAGGATAGGTCTTCAGAAGAACCTTCCTCTGAATTTACACCAGCATATCATTGCAGCCCAAATATGGCCTGAGAAGTTTACCCAGAATATAGAGGCTTGAGCACTGGCACAGACCCTGGCTGTCCTTTGTGGACCTCGGACCATACTTTGCATTCAACATCTCACCAGAGCTGATATCTCACCTCTCTGCCTAGTTACCACATTTGGGAATATGGCATTAAAAATACAATTGTCCAGATGTATTTGGTGAAAACATGTTCTGACAGTATTTAGCCTACAGGCCATGTACATTTCCATCATCTCTTCTCAGTAAAGAGATTGCCTGGAGCTATGTCGTGTGTCTAGAAATATTGCCTTCTCATTCTCACCAAAGTAAGAGAGTCATTCCTTAAATTTGACTGGGATGCTGTAGTTTGCAAAGCACTCTCCTATCCATTATCATTCAATCCACAAGCAAACACTCCAGAAAGACAAGGCAGGGTGATCATTTCCACTTAGCGGCTATGGAAATGGAGGCTTATGAGGTTAAGTCTCAGCTTCTTCTAAGTGGAGCTTCTTCTCACTCATGATTCTGTTTCTATGCCATAAACCAGCCTTCACACAAACCCTGGGTTCCCCCAAATATTCAACATGTTCATGTGGGCCCTTTCTCTTGATGTTTATTCATCTCTATTTTTTTTTTCATTTGTCCAATACATCCACCTGTTTAGAGCCACAAAATTGACAGTTATACTTTTTACAGGATTACAATCCACTAGAATATCCCAGGCTGTGTCCAGTCCCCTGCAGTTCTGTCACTGGGGCT